TGTAACATTTATAACCCTTCTGAGTTCGAGAATACCCAACAAAGACACATTTTTTAGCACGAGGGTCCAGCTTATCAAAACTTGGAGTCAAAGAATGGACGAAACAAACACAACCAAAGACACGTAGAGGTAATGCAAAGGGAGGACGATTTGGATGTAAAATAGAAAAAGGTGTCTCCCCCTGAAGAATAGAAGTTGGAAGTCGATTAATTAAGAAGCAGGCTGTAAGGACAGCATGGCCCCAAAAGGTTTTCGGTAGATGCATGTGAAACATAAGACAACGAGCAACATCAAGAAGATGACGATTTTTACGTTCAGCAACACCATTTTGTTGTGGTGTATATGAACAGGAAGTTTGATGAATAATGCCATGAGAATCAAGAAAAGGTTGAAAACCAGAGGCAACAGCAAGATACTCTTTTGCATTATCGGACCATAGAGTTTTGACAGAAGTATTATATTGATTCAACACCTCAAAGTAGAATCGACGAAAGCAATAAAAAATCTCAGTACGATCTTTTATTAAGAACAACCAAGTCATTCGAGAAAAATCATCCACGAATGTAACAAAATATCGGAAACCAGATGTATCAGAAACACGACACGGAACCCATACATCTGAGTGAACTAGCTCAAAGGGACTAGACACACGACTCTGAAAGCGAGAAGGAAAAGAAACTCTATGGTGTTTTCCAAACTGACAAGCTTCACACTCAAAAGTACTCACAGACTCAGACTCAGGAAACAATCGTCGAAGAATGTTCGGTGGTGGATGACCAGCACGACAATGCATCCGATACACATCAGTGGATGTGCGCTTCATAGCTGCTGCAGCTATCACCTTCTTGTCTAGATAGGGCAAAAGGACACTATAAGTGCCATAACTTGTGTACGGAGATCACTTTGGTGCCATAACTTTTTTTCGGATCACTTTGGTGCCAAGTCGGAGGAAAAACGATCATTTAAGTGTCATAAGTTTTTTTTGGATCACTTCAGTGCTAAAATTTTTGAAAAACGATCACTTAAGTGCTAAATTTTTTTAAAAACGATCATTTAAGTGCTAAAATTTTTGAAAAACGATCACTTAAGTGCCAATTTCCGGCGAGCCACGTCAGCTTCAGAAATTAATAAAAAAAATGCCACGTCGGATTTCCGGCGAAAAATTGTGTACGGCACCGGAGTTGGCACTTAAGTGATCGTTTTTCAAAAATTTAAGCACTTAAGTGATCGTTTTTCAAAAATTTTAGCACTAAAGTGATCCAAAAAAAACTTGTGGCACCAAAGTGAGCGCCGTACACAAGTTATGGCACTTGTAGTGTTCTTTTACCGTCTAGATAGTATAGGCCATTTGATTCATGTCCCCCACCAATCATCTGTCCAGTCCTCAGATCCTGAAAGACACAATGAGAAGCAGAAAAGGTTACGGAACAATTTAGTTCCTTCGTTAGTGAACTAACAGAAATCAAATTATATGGAGATTTGAGATGAAGGACAGATGATAAGGAAAGGGAAGGACTCAAATGTGCGTCTCCAGTACCAGTAACTTGGGAAATGGAACCATCAGCTAATGTAGCAGAGTTGGACACCCCAGGAGGTGTGGAATGTAACGAAGACAATAATGTAGAGTTACCAGCTATATGATGAGTAGCTCCAGAATCTATAATCCAAGAGTCCGACAGGGTAGAAAGTAAACATGATGAACTACCTTTTGAGCTATGTGCCAGAGTTGCAGTGGGAGCTGAAGGTCCTGTCACCTGTTGGGAGCGAATCCAAGCCTCATATTCAGCACGTGTCAATGTAACCGAATCTCTTGTATTACGCACGTAGTAGGATCCGGTTGAGCTAATGAGGAAGAATCGTCCACTTCAAAGCAAATGCAGCAAGTGTAGGTCGAAGCTCGGATGAAGCGTGTAGCAGTAAGCTTCTGTATGTCTAGCCCTCCGACAATGATTACAATAACGAGAGCCACGGCTACCAATACTTCTATCACGACTCCCACGACTTCCACTCTGAATAGATCCACGTCCATGACCCCGATAACCACGATCACGAGCTCCACGTCCACTAGAGCCATGAGAGATCATGGCACTTGTCTCTAGAGTTGTACTTGAGATCTTAGCAGTAGGTGTCGAACAAAGGGCTCGGGAGAAAACCTCATCAACTGTAGGAAGGGAGCTTTCAGATGTAATCTGCTGACGAAGGGAAGAATATTCAGGCCCTAGTGATTTAAGAAATAGTATCACTCAAAGATCCTCCTGGCATTTGACTAAAACATTTGGATCAGTTGAAGCTGGAAGATAAGCATCTAGTTGGTGGCAAAGTGTAGTGAAACGAGCATAATATTCAGATAGAGATTGATCTCCACGCTGAAGATCAAATAGAGCCTCTCATGTGTCACACACTCGTATCATATTGTTCTGGCCAGAATAAAGTAAAGCACATTTCTCCCAAACTTCCTTAGCAGAAATACACTGAATGAAGTGAGGGCTAATCTTAGGATCCATACTATTCCATAACAGTATACGGATCATCGCATCTCTTGCAACCCAATCATCTATCTTACTCTTATCCGAGGGGATTGTAGACGTAAGATAATCATTCTGTCTAGTGGCGGTAAGATAAACTTCTACAGCTTTAGACCACGATGGATAATTAGTTCCATCCAGCTTGACAGATGTCAATTGAAAATGTGTAAGACCAGTAGATGATCCAGAAGCCGAAGCCATCAGTATTAACTCCACTGAACTCCAATAATGCAATTAGTCGAACAGATTGAACACACGATATGATTGAACCCAATAGTAATGTCACAATAATCAAGCACTTAACTTCAGTTGTGCAATCAGCCACAAAATAACAAACACAAATGAGGGTTCAATCGGTTCACCACGGAGTCAAGAAACTGTACTGAGAGGCCATAAAATCATATATTCGGTATCAAAGAATCACGGAAAACCATCCAACCTTCCAGGCATACACCGACCAGCACTTCAAGTATCAATATACGGCAATGAGAAGCCACATAAGTACACTGGACAACATCCTCTGATGACCTCAGTTCGAATTTTTTTTTTTTTCGGAAGAAACCCTAGCAGAACCGAACGAACTGAGGTCGCCTCCCACTCCTCAAGACATACGAAACCCTAGCAGAACCGAACAATGGGATGTGAATCACTTCGAACATGGGAGAGGGTTGAGTAAATACCAATTCCGCTGCGCCCGTGAGAAGCAGTCGCTAGATGGGCTTCGGCGAGCGATGCGTCTAGTCAGATCTGGAGAGCAGACGCCAGTGAGAGTCGACGCCGACGAGAGACGATGATGAGGGTTGGCGACGACGAGAACAGGTGCCGGTGAGGGGCGATCGGTGCTTCTGGCCAGATCTGAGCAGATCTGGATCTGGTGAGTGGACGACAACGGTGGTGGACAGATCTGAATTTGGTGGTCACCGTGAGGGTTTGGTGGGTCCACGACGGTGATGGTGAACGGCGACAGTGGGCTATGGTGGTGGTGAGGTTGAAGACAACGGTGGCCGAAGAAAGAATACGGTGGGCTATGGTGGTGGTGGGGTTGAAGACTACGGTGGTTGAAGAAAGAATACGGTGTGCTCTGATACCATGTTGAGAGAGAGAGAAATATACGTATTGTATTATCTCAATCAAAGGATTACAAGAATACATGTAATATATATGTGTAACCCTCTCGATATAAAATAACTTCTGACTGTTTTACCCTTATTATTAGGGATAAGTGCATTCAAAGTCCTAAAACTTATCATGAAAGTGCAATTGAGTCCTAAAACTTTCAAAAAGTGCAAACAAGTCCTAAAACTTATCACGAAAGTGCAAACAAGTCCTAAAACTTCTCAAATTGGTTTAATCAAGTCCTTCCATTGATTGTACTTTTTGAAAGTTTTAAGACTTGTTTGCACTTTTGTGACAAGTTTTAGGATTTATTTGCACTTTTGTGACAAGTTTTAGGACTTATTTGTACTTTTTGAAAGTTTTAGGACTCAAGTGCACTTTCGTGATAAGTTTTAGAACTTGTTTGCACTTTTTGAAAGTTTTAGGACTCAATTGCACTTTTATGACAAGTTTTAGGACTTCTAGTATACATATCCCTTATTATTATTTCCTAACAGTTATTACTACAATATGGAGACAAACTAATCGAAAATAAAATTCAATGCCTCTTCTCTTGATTTCCCTCTCATCTTTAATGTTTACGGAAATTTGAATTCTTGGCTCGCAATTTGATTGGGGCTGACCAGTTCTCACCTCTTGAAATTTCAATGGCAAACCATTTCAATGCCGCCTTTATCAATCGATCTCTGATGGTTTCCCAATTCAGATGGGTGAATTGAACTCATGAATGGTCCGGGGCCTTTGTCGAAACAACTGCAGATTCGCCGCCTTTTGCGAACCTTTGATTAAATTAAAATTGTAGTTAGAATTGTCTTACCGTGTGGTCCATTTGAGCAATGCACCAAACATTGTGCATGCAGCGTCCATTTAATCTTGTGAAGAAGACAAAGCTAACCCCAAGAACAAGTTATTTAGATAGCGTAAAAAAATTAATCTAAATTGAGCCCTTGGTTATGAGTCTTATGACACATGACTGGTCGATCGCTAGTCACTATCATGGCCAAGTACAAGTTTACTCTACTATACGGCTCTCAAGCTGTGTTCAAACCTACGAGTCTCCTAAAAGTCTCACCAGAAATTCTCTGAATGCATGTGACTGAAGACTGCTCAAAGAATGACCTAATTGCGATGCTCACCGAAAGCCATTCAATTACAATGTTGACGAAGCCCTTTGAATTTGGACTTTTCAACATGATCTCCATGCGTGAAGAATGTAGGGTCCAACTTAACCAATTCCAAGCAACTTCATACGATTCCGGTCAACTTTGAATCGTAGCGTTTCGTGAAACACAGTGAAAAAGGTGGGGGAATGAGAGACTATAAATATGCATGGCTCATGCATTGTAAAGCCATCAAGCAAACTAGCTCTTTCTCCAAACTTAATACACTTGTTCAAAACATTTCCTCTTTTCCCTCTCTGACAACTCTCAAAGGCACCAAGATCACATACTTGTTAGTACTTTCTTTCCTTCCGTTTCATTCAACTCGACTTGCAAATGGAAAGAGCAATGAGTTTACCCCTTCAGCCTCCAACTTATGGAAATTCGATCACCATTCTGAGCATCGATGGTGGTGGGATAAGAGGGCTTATCCCTGGAACCATTCTTAATTTTCTAGAGTTGGAGCTTCAGGTGAGCACGCTGTATAGAACTTTTTGTCGCATCTGTTATCAATATATTTCACCAATCTTATTAGCATATTAGCATTCTTCACAACCTTTACAAATTTGTGCATAGAGATTTTGTTAACATAAATATATATATATATATATATATATATATATATATCAATTTTAGTGAGCAAAACAATTTTCATTAGATTTATATAAACCTAGACGATTGGCATGTAGTTCTCGTAATGCATGCGTGCATGTAAAAGGTTTTATGCATGCATGTCCTAAGCAAACTTTAAAAGGATAAGACTGTTTTCTGTATATATATAAAATACATGCAACCAATCTTTATGTAACTTATATTTGATACACCAATCTCGATCTAAATATGTTTTACGAATTTTGCAGAAACTAGACGGCGAAGACGCAAGAATCGCGGACTACTTCGACGTTATTTCTGGAACAAGCACCGGCGGCCTCGTTACTGCCATGCTAACCACTCCCAATGAAAACAATCGCCCTGTATTCGCCGCAAAAGACATCAAAGACTTCTACCTCAATCACTGCCCTAAAATCTTTCCCCAAGACAGGTAAGAAAATACATAAAGGAGTTGCTAATCTCTCTTATGGTTTGATTATCTCTTAACTTATCGAAATTAATAAATGTCCCTAAAACTTTGCAGTTGCCCTTTCACACCGGTTACGAAGATGATCAAAGCCATGGCGGGACCCAAATACGATGGAAAATACCTTCACAATGTCGTGAGGGAGGAGCTTGGAGACAAAAGATTGCACCAAACATTGACAAACGTCGTGATACCGACGTTCGACATCAAGAGCCTTCAGCCAACTATTTTCTCTAGCTATCAGGTCATTCATCTCTTCATCATCTTCTTGAAATTTAAGTATAGCTCTAGGGTTTTGAGGATATGTAGACAATAAACTCTTACAAGGATTATCAACATTATTCTCGTCAAATTGTCGCCAGGTGAAGAAAGATCCGAGCGTGGATGCCTTGCTCTCGGACATATGCATTTCGACCTCGGCCGCACCAACTTATCTCCCGGCCCATCAGTTTGAAACCAAGGACTCCACAGGCAAAGTGAGAGAATTTAACCTCATCGATGGTGGCGTAGCCGCAAATAATCCGGTAATATAATCATATAGGCCTCCTCGTATATGAAATCTTAAACATGAATTTCCTCCCATGACATCGTACTTGAATATTGAGAGTTTGTTTTTAAATAACGTTTGACAATAACTAATTATATGTGATATACCCATTGTGTAGACATTGGTTGCGATGGGAGAGGTGACCAAGGCAATTATTGGAGGAAGTTCAGACTTCTTCCCTATAAAACCAATGGATTACCGGAGGTTCTTGGTGATCTCACTCGGGACAGGAACAAGGAAGACTGAGGGGAAATACACTGCACATGAAGCAGCCAAGTGGGGAGTGCTGGGTTGGTTGACCAGCGGCGGTTCGCCATTGATCGACGTCTTCAGTCAAGCCAGCGCAGACATGGTCGACTACCATCTCTCCGCTGTGTTTCAAGCCCTACAACTCCACGACAATTATCTTAGGATACAGGTATATCTAATATCTACAGATATTCGCGTGAAAGATTCCCGGACGAAGATTATTTCCACAAAATATCGTCACACATAGGCCTGTTTTGTGCTGATCATTGCCTCTTTATGGCTTGATTTTTCAGGATGATACATTGAGTGGTGTTTTATCATCAGTGGATGTGGCCACGAAAAAGAACCTGAACGACCTGGTCAAAACTGGTGAGGCATTATTGAAGAAGCCGGTCTCTAGGGTTAATTTGGAGACCGGGGTGTGCGAGCCCACGTCCAACCAAGAGACCAACGAAGAGGCTTTGATAAGGTACGTGCATTAGAAATCACAAATAATTAATTCGGGAATTCATGATTCATTACTTTTTGCATTTTTAGGTTGGTTTGACTAATATAGCTTCCTTTGACATATACTGCAGGTTTGCTAAATTACTCTCCCAAGAGAGACAGCTTCGCCTCGCAAGGTCGCCTCATGGACATGCCAATACACCGAAGTGATTATAATCGAGAGGGCTAGCGATCTTCTTGCATAATTTTGTGGATTTGTAATTTCGAGACGGGGACAAAGTATATGTCTTTTTAAAAAAAATTCCTTAAAGATTCTTTTATTCTTGAATAAACCCTTTGGGGGATAGGACTAAGATTTTCTGCAATTCTTTTTCTATTGTTTGATCAGTCGTTAGACACGAATGATTGTAAGCTAATTCTCTATGGAATAAAATTCTCATTACCGCCACGATTTCTTATTGTAATTATTTTGTTGTGGTCAGAGTCATAGACAGGTGCATTAATTCACATCTTCCATCTTGTCGTATAGAAAATGGCACATCAGCTATAAACTTAATTGACATGGGAAGATGTGCTTTTGTGATTTTACACGTTTTCCGGTCAATATGCGACTATGATAAATTGGTCTTTTTAACATAAGTCCAAAAGTATGACCAAACAACTGAGAAATGCTAATCTATCTAAAAAAAAATAACTCTAGTTAAACTTATTTTTTCATGTTAGGAAATTAGGATAATGAAGTTAATAATTACCCATTGGCTGCGGAACTAAAAAAGGAAAACTAGAACAAAGCCATCCGAATGAAGCATGTACAGCTATATAAGACAAACAAGACAAGACAAGCAGCTGAGATATTTGCAACTCTAACAAGAATTATATAAACTAACATACTGGCTAATGTCCATTATGAAGATAATTGAAGTGAAGAAAACAAGCGGAGTACATGTCATCTTTTTCAAGCTCCATTCTATTTCTCACTAGTTCTTATACCACAATATCTTAACTTTTGCTTCAATATATACCAAAAGACACATGATGGTTGGAATGTGGTCTTCAAAAGAAAGCACACCAGCATCACAATTCTAGGAGACTTTTAGAATCAAAAAATCAGGGTTACCTACCACACGAGCCTCAAATGTAATCTCGATGTGAGCCACAAGAATGAAGAAAGTAGTATTTTCCATTCGGTCTCTAGCCATCGAAAGACACATCATTGTTGGACTGAACCATGGGAAACCTCACATATCGTTGTGCCATGCATAAACAACCTAGACCCAATTGTAAGAAGTGCTATCCCCATTCCTCGTGACCCACTTACTAACTTCTCCAAAACAAGAGATACATTCCCCATTGCAAGCGGACCAATGGTTCGTGGATTTAACAAAAGAAACTTGGCACGTTCATTGCCTTCAATTATCAATAGCATTTAATTGCTTTTTACCATTCAACGCCCAACCATCTTTGAATTGCCTTAGAGGTACATTCAGAGAGTTTTCCCCATCGAGCCTCCACATGGGATCACCACGCGCAAGTATGCACAGTCATGCCCCTGCTGAACTCAGAAGACTGGTGGATATGGCAAATATATTATAATGAATAATTTACACAATACCCTTCAATTGACCCTCTCGCTTCTTGAAGATCAATCCTAAACGTTTTCAAAGTGATAGATCTGACCTGTCACTTCAATCTTCTGTGGCTGCTTTCTTTGGCATCTCATTTCTCCTTCTACCCAAAATTATATGCAGGAAAAAGAAAACACAGATATGGAGCTGCGAGTCGTGCAATACACTTTTGTTATTTTATAAACCCTAAAAAACATGCCGCACTGGGAAGAGATGAGCTTTACCAGTCAAAAACGATAGAGCAAGAACTGCGATTTAAGTTAGGGTTTCGTGTGCTTCATTGTAGCACCATGGGAATGATAGGCCGGAGATCAAAGCATGGACATGTATATAGAACCTTCTCTTTATTTATAGGGAAAAAGCCACCAAAAAATCTAAACCATGCTTATTGTGATACATTTATCCTAAACTTTTTTTTGTGACACAAAAAATTTCAAACTTGCACCTGTGTGACACGTTTATCCTCCTTCAAAGTTCCGTAAAATTATTTTTCAATCAAAATAACATCGTTTTTATTATACTTAAGCCGCGTAAGTTTCGGCCCTCGCCTGGATCTAGGCAAGGGCCCGACGCCCTCGCCCAACAACCTCGCCTGAGGGCCGTGCCACTAGTGAGGGCACAAAGGCCCTTGCCCAAACCAACCTGTGGCAAGCGATGGTCGGCCGGCGGGCAAGGAAAAAGAAGAAAGAGAAAAAAGAAAAGAGAAAAAGAAAAAAAAAGTTTAGGACTAAATTGATGCGATTGAAATGTTTATTACTGAATTGATACCCGTGCAATAGGTTTTGGACTTTTTTGGTACTTTTCCCATTGAAGAATGGCATGCGCACAATTGAGAACAGCTTTTGGATATCTTTGCTTTCTTTCAATACTTTGTATTAACTACCCTATTAGATTAAACTCAAAAGGAAGATTTATGGAAGCACCATATTTTCTTTCAAAGTGCTTTACTTTCACAATGAACATGTTCTAAAGAAAGGTTTTCCCGCATCATTAAATTACGGTGTTTCGGTGAGCCATTTTTGCTAGTTTTTCTTTTTTGTCAAAAGGGGTTTCAATATATCTTCTATTACATTAAGCCTCTCTCCATGTATTGATTTATACTTTAGTAGCAATACTTTCAAATCCGAGTGAATTCTCTCTCTCTCTCTCTCTCTCTCTCTCTCTCTCTCTCTCTCTCTCTCTCTCTCTCTCTCTCTCTCTCTCTCTCTCTCTCTCTCTCTCTCTCTCTCTCTCTCTCTCTCTCTCTCTCTCTCTCTCTCCGTCCACTCTTTGAGACGAAGTTTTATCATAACATTTCTCTATATGCGGCGCATAACATTGTCAATATTGCTATTTTCGTAGAAACTAACCTCTAGTCTACCTATATCATTCCCATTCTAATTACTTGAGCTGGCCGCCAACGCGTGCTTTGATCATTTTGCCTTTAGGTTTATCATCTTGTGTAATGCTATTAATGTAATGATTGAATTACATAAGATATCAATAGAAAAGAGTACATATAAGCCATTTGATAGTGACATATTTTGACCTAAATTTTGCATTATACTATTCGTGCATGAGAAAGTAGGGTCTTCGTCCACTTTTTGAGATGAAGTTTTATCATAACATTTCTCTATATGCAGCGCATAACATTATCAATATTGCTACTTTCGTAGAAAGTGACCAGTCTACCTATATCATTCCCATTCTAATTACTTGAGCTGGCCGCCAACGCGTGCTTTGATCATTTCGCCTTTAGGTTTATCATCTTGTGTAATGCTATTAATGTAATGCTTGAATTACAGAAGATATCAATAGAAAAGAGTACATATGAGCCATTTGATAGTGACATATTTTGACCTAAATTCTGCATTATACTGTTCGTGCATGAGAAAGTAGGGTTTTCCTGCTCCCACAATGGCCCCCGTGCCTTTCAGTTTAGTATTCAAACCTACAGGTCTCTCTCGAGGCGTTGAAAGTCTCACCAACAATTCTTCACTTGAAAGACCTCTCATCCTCAGCTAGCCATTACGGTTCAGCTTCCCTATAAAATTTGGACTTTTCAATCAGTTTCTTGGATTGAAGAAACTCCGGTCAACTTAAAACAATTCCGACCAAGACCGTACGTGGGATTTCGGTCAAAGTTTGAATGAAACCCAACCTATAAATTCTCGCATCTTATCCAAGACTTAGGCCAAAGAGCTCTCACTCAACACATTTGAAGTTCGATCTCTCTCCTCAAGCCCCTCTCTCTCTCTCTCTCTCTCTCTCTCTCTCTCTCTCTCTCTCTCTCTCTCTCTCTCACAGAGACAAAAAAAGAAAAAAAGAGTCCGCCATATCTATGGAAAGGTCAAAGAGTTTGCCGCTCCAGCCTCCAACTTATGGAAACCTCATTACCATTCTCAGTATTGACGGCGGAGGGATAAGAGGGCTTATCCCCGGAACAATCCTCGCCTTCTTAGAGTCTGAGCTTCAGGTTGTTATAAATCAGTTTTCTATCTTTTTAATGCAGGAAGAACAAGTTTCAATTATAAGGTTTTACCCGTGCATGCCCCTTGCAACTTCTGATGGCTTTGTGGACTGGTGCAGAAACTAGATGGTGAGGACGCAAGACTCGCAGATTATTTTGATGTTATTTCCGGAACAAGCACAGGTGGTCTCGTCACTGCCATGTTAACTAGCCCCGACGAAAATAACCGTCCCTTATTTGCTGCAAAAGATATTAAGGATTTTTACCTTAATAATTGCCCTAAAATCTTCCCTCAAGACAGGTTAGCCAAGCTAACTCATCATTTCTCTAGGCCATACTGGTATAACTATTTGTTCCTCAAATGGCTGTGTACTAACATTATATCTCTTGAAAACCACAGTTGCCCATTTGCTCCTGCTACGAACATGATTAAGACGGTGACTGGACCAAAATATGATGGAAAATACCTTCATAAGCTCGTCAAAGGGAAACTCGGAAACGCAAGATTGCACCATACATTGACAAATGTGGTGATCCCAACGTTCGACATCAAGCATCTCCAGCCGACCATCTTTTCTAGCTATGAGGTTTGTCCTTTTTTCAGTCCTTGAAATATAATCCATTCTTTCTTTTTGATATTGTCCAAATAATGATATACAGAAAAATCACTGAACATGTTGCTTTTGTGGGTTAATTGATCATGACCAGGTCAAGAAAAAGCCAAGCATAAATGCCTTGCTCTCAGACATATGCATTTCAACCTCTGCAGCACCAACTTATCTCCCAGCTCATTATTTTGAAACCCAGGACTCCACAGGAAAAGTGAGAGAATTCAACCTCATAGATGGCGGCGTCGCCGCAAACAATCCTGTATGAAAAAATTATTTCCTAACAGACCTGACCTGACAAAAGGTAATACTATTAATTCTAACTCTTTATCGTTCAATGTACAGACATTGGTTGCAATGGGAGAAGTGACGAAGGAGATCATGGGAGGAAGCTCAGATTTCTTCCCTATAAAGCCAATGGACTATAGAAGGTTTCTTGTGATATCGCTCGGGACCGGTTCAGCAAAAGTTGAGGGGAAGTATAATGCAAGCGAAGCGGCCAAATGGGGAGTCTTGGGCTGGTTGAGCAGCAACGGCGGGAGCCCATTGGTCGATGTGTTCATGCAAGCGAGCGCAGATATGGTCGACTTCCACCTCTCCGCAGTCTTCCAAGCCCTACATCTTGAGGCCAACTACCTCCGGATTCAGGTATATATACATTATCATTTCCAATTATCTGATTCGTTGCCATATTATATCATTTCAAAACATTGGCCTTGAAGTGATGATAAACTAATTTGCTAGCTAGCTTAATTCGGCAAGCTAA